AAATAAAGTTGTTGAAAGTTATTTTTACAACAATACGTGGGCAAATTTCCATGGTCTCATGAGGCAGCTTAAGAACAGAATTTAGATCTTTATATCTTTATATCTTTACATATTTTGGGAGAGATTTAAAAAATAATTTAGATTCAAAAGTTACTTTTCATTTTGATAAGCACAAAATTCTAGGACATAAAAATGCTTTTATCCAAAAGTATAATCATGTCATTATTGTTTTTACACTCCAATAATTATTAGCAATTTTACCATCAAGATAGTTGAAACTAATCCTTATTTATTCCCTTATTGATTTGGCATACTGTTAGACTTTTCATAAGCAGAGTGAAAAAGACCGCATAGGTGAAAGAAATATTAAGGGCCTTGAAGTCAAACAGAACTGGGCTCAAATTCTAACTTAACCACTTTAATCTTGGACAACCCATCTAGCCTCTTTAATTTTTTCTACATTTTTAAAATGGGGATAACAACACCATAGTCTGTTACAATGACTACATGATAAAATATACTGAAAACATTGCACTTAGTTTCTAAATAAGAAAATCACGTGTATATTAATTGTTTATCCATGATATTCCTAAACAACTAAAGAGAAGCCAATTTTTAAGGCAAAACGACTCTGGATGCACAAGTAAGAGATTGACTTAACACGTGATACTTTGCTGTCCCTTAGGGAGAGGGTCTGAGAGTGGAATAAGCAGAACAGGTCTAAGAAAATTCACATACAACCCATGAAACAAGATTTTTTAAAAACTCTTTAGAAAGGATGAGAATGTCTGCCTCAGGTAAGTACCTTGGAGTGATAACTTTGAATGGTGTGGTTGGAATCCGAAATATGAACACAGAAATTATGATGGATTTTCTTCTTAATAGGCTCATTTCAACAGAGTTGTTGACATGTAAAACTTGAGTTACATACTATTACATCTAAAAATATCCAGTTGCTTGATTTTTATGAGAAAAAATTTTAAACGATACAGGCCATCATTGCTCAAGAATATTTTAGGAAACCATACTTCATACTTAGTTCTATGCAAGTGCATCATCTAGATCAGAGACACAGATCCAATGTGTCCAGAACCCAAGCAGGCAAAGGAAATAAATGGACAGGGCCAGGTGGGCACCAAGCAAACTTGAGCCCTCGGCCGGTCTGAAGAAGCCAGCCATTAATCAATTTCAGCCAATGTTTGTCTCATAAGATCCTAGGGTATTTTCATAACTCAGAAAGTATAAGGTTATGTGAAGTTGCTCAAATCTTAAAACGCTATCTACTAAATAATATGTTTTCAAACTCCTTGGACGTTTGTACGTCCAGATCTAGACTCGCCATCATCAATATCTGCCCAATTGCTAAATAAAACCAACAGTTGTTTGATTATACACAAACATGATCAAAACACAGAATGAATAATATGTGTGTGTAAAACGAGGTGGGAGGATCCCTTGAGCTCAGGAGTTTGAAGCCAGACTGGCCAATATAGGGAAAACTGACCTGTTTCCTTAAAAAAGAGAGAGAGAGATTAAGAGCCCTGGCAGCTAAGGAGTTCTTTGTTCCTTGAGAAAACGGACTACACCTTGTTCCTTTTTTTTTTTTTTGTGGGTCAGCACATAACATAGTACTTGTCCCAAAATAGGCTCTAAGTAAATGTTTGATGAATTAATGGATGAATAACTTTGTGAAAAATCTTGGTAACTCAGGATTTTATTCACACTTACAAGTGTTAAAAAGTATTTTATCTTTGATGGCAGCAAGAAAATAGAAAAAAAAGAAATAGTGGTCTAGTCTTAGAATTTAGGGTTGGCTTAGAAGTAAGAATGCATTGTATTTTCTATATTACCAAAATGTATCTATTTTAGCAATTCTCTATTTGTACTGCGATGACTATTGCCATCTTTTATAAGAGGGCAAAATGAGATTTAATTTAAAATAATAACAGCAACATATACCAACACCCTTCACATAGAATTTTTATCTTACAAAATGTTTTCAGTGTGTGATTTTTCCCTTTTTTATCTTTACTTTAGATTCAGGGGCTACGCATGCATGTTTGTTACATCGACATACTATGTAGTGGTGGAACTGACTTTCAAATGACCTATATCCCAGATGGTGAACATTATACCCCACAGGTTATTTCTTAACCCTAGACTTCCACTTCCCTTCTTACTGGTGTCCCCAGTGTCTATTATTTTCCATCTTTGTGACCATTTAGCTCCCACATATGAGTGAGAACATAGGTGTTTGGCTTCTGAGTCAGTTCACTTAGGGTGGATGACCTTCAGCTCCATCCTTGTTCCTGCAAAGGACATTATTTCATTCTTTTTTATGGCCATGTAGTGTTCCATGGTGTAATATACACCACACTTTATTTATCCAGTCAATTGTGAGTGGGCGTTCAGGTTGGTTCCACGATTTTGCTTTTGTGACTAGTGCTGTAATGAGCATAAAAGTACAGATATCTTTTGTATACATCAGTTTATTTTGCTTTGGATCGATCTCTAGTAGTGGGATCACTGGGTCAAATAGTAAGTCAATTTTTAGCTCTTTGAGAAATGTCCATACTGTTTTCTATAGAGGTTGAACTAGTTTACAATCTAACCAACAGTGATGAGTGTTCTCTTTTCTCCACAACCATGCCAACATCTGTTATTCTTTGACTTTCTAATAAAAGCCATTCTGGTGTGAGAAGATATCTCATTGTGACCTTAATTTGCACAGAACATTTTTCTGAGGTAGATATTATCTTCATTTTAGAGAAGGAAAAAATGAGCTTTAAAGGAAGTTGACTGATTTTATAATGTCTTGCATAAAACAAGCAATAGAGCTGAACCTAATCTGTCTTAGCCCATGCTGGTTCTCTCCTAACAGGAAGGCAGCCTGGGGATGTGACAATATAGAAACAAATAAATTAGATGAATTACATATGCACTCTGGCACCTTCATAAACAGAAAGGGTAGAAAATGGTCCACACTATGATATGAAAAAGGAAGGAAAGAAAAGCAAAGAAGTGTAATATTTTTAAGTAGATTTGTAGTCATCAGACCGAGCATCTTATTCATCATGACACTATTTTCACTATTTCCATATTTGTTAAATTGTTCAGAAAAATGAGACTGATCAGTTTGATCTATATTATTTTATCCACAAGCATATTGCTCTGTGATTTTTTTTTATTTCTTATGTGTATGTCTTCTCAGCTAGAGTGGAAATTTTATGAGAATCAAAGGCTAAAACATATCATAATACAAGTTCCTTAAAAACTCTCTACCTAAAAGGAACTCATTGATTTTTGTGTTGTTGTTAATGGGCTCCATATAGATTGGTGGCATGTAGCATAATGATTAAGAACATGGGATTTAATGTCAATAGATGTATGTCTAACTCCATATTCAGTCAGACAAGCTGTCTGACTTTGGGAGTTATTCCACCTCTGTGAGTCACAGTGTCATCTGTAAAAAAGGTGACAGTAATAAGACTTACTCTATAAATTTGTGTTGTAGATTAAATAATTAATGTTTGTAAAAAGTACCGAGATGCCTGCTGATATATGACATGCATGTAATAAATGTTTTCAAATCTGCAAGATACTGAAATTTCAAATTCAGTAAAATACAAAAGCTAAATGCTGGCATCTAGACATTTGGAGAAGGGAAGTTTAGTTGGTTCTCAAAAATATAGTGAGATGGTGAAGGAAAATTTTGAAAAGCAACCCAAAATGTATTTTTAAAACAAACTTTTAATTGATCCCACGTGTCATGTGCAATACAGTAATAGATCACAAACAATAACAAGATATAGATGCAGTGATTTACTATTAATATAAATAATTACAAACAAAATCAGTTTTCAGACACAAGATCACTAACCGAGAAAACTTTTCTACATGTCATAGTTCACAAAGAAGGAGTGAAGACCTCAGGTCTTGCTAGTCACAAAATATTCTTTTTTGAGAAACTTTGTTTCTGGAAAGATATAAGCTTGTCATAAAATAATTATTTCATCAAGGTCCAGTCAACTAATTTTCCAGTGTTTGTTCAACTTATTTTCCAGTGAGTGTTTGTTCTTAGACCTTTTATCTTTAAACATACATACATCTTTCTTTCTTTCTTTCCTTCTTTTTTCTTTCTTTCTTCCTTCCTTCCTTCCTTCCTTCTCTCTCTCTCTCTCTCTCTCTCTCTCTCTCTCTCTCTCTCTCCCTCCCTCCCTCTCTCGCTCTCTCTTTCTTTCTTTGGAGTCAGGGTGTTGTTACTCTGTTGCCCAGGCTGAAGTGCAGTGACACAACTACAGCTCACCAAAGCCTCATACTCCTGAGCTCAGCCAATCTTTTTGCCTTAGTCTCCCAGTAGCTAGGACTATAGGTGTGCACCGCCATATTCATCTTTTCTCCTTTTTTTTTTTTTTTCAGTTTTTGTAGAGACAAAGTCTGGCCATGTTGCCTAGGCAAGTCTCCAACTCTTGGGCTCCAGCAATCCTCCTGCCTCCTGGCCTCCCAGAGTGTCGGGATTACGGGTGTGCCTGACCCATTTATCAGATTTTAATTGTTCCTATAGGAGACATAATGAATGCAATGATGCAAGTACATTAAAGTGAGAAAAAAATAAGAGAGTGCTAATTTTTTTAAAAGGAAAATGATACATACAAAGTTTTCTTTATCATATTTAGGGTGCTATTTATGAGAGAATACTAGAGCCAAGCAATTGAAATTCTTTTCTACCCCAAAGTGGCAGGAAAAAATGAACAACCACAGAAGAAACACCATACATCAATTTAGAAAACAACTTGATGCCAATTAAACATAATTAACTACCCCACTAATAGTTCCCTTTTCGTGTCTTTAGTATTTATAGCGGCCAATTCATGGAGCCTAAAACCTTAAGTAACCCCTTAACCCTGAATTTTCGGCCTTTGGGCTCAAGTAGAGAAATGCTGGCCTACCATCTCTCACACAACCAGATGGAACAGCCTGTTGGATCCATACATGTTGATTCAGAGAACATCCTCCGTTTCTCTGCATCCTTCAGTGTCTGGATTGTATTCCACAGGCCAGGAAGGCTCCCCCATTGGGATATCACCTCCCTGGCTCCTGCTACCTTCCTGGGCCTCCTCACAAATTGAGTGTGGCAAGCAGTCCTGCTCTGAGTTGCTCCAGACATAGCCAGGTAAAGTCACGTGGCTGTCAGGCCGGCTGCTGGTCGTCTTGGCAACTGTGCCAGGGAGGACCACCAAGCGTGTGCTGGCCGCCCCCTGCGACTGGCTGCTGGTACTGTGCATTGCGGTGGTGAGCACTGAGCCTAACCGGTGACTGCCGCGTTTCTGCGTCCTTTTCCAGTCTACGGAGAGATTCCAGTGACTCCACACCTTCTTCACCTCAGCCTGAACCTAAACGATGAGAGACACGTTAGGCAGCAGAAACCACCAAGGAGACCTTTGCGAAGATGTTTGCCTTGATGTCAACACTAGTAATAAGCATCGGTTGAGGGTATTGTACGTGCCTGGGCCTTCCAAGTCTAGTTCCTCTCCACCTCACAAAACTTTTCATATAGGTGTTGTTTTTGGAGATGAGTAAACTGAAGCTCAGAGAGTTGTTAATTTGTCCAAAGTTAGAATTTAAAGGGATTGGCAGTAGTAGGAAACTGCCAGGGGAGGGGGGACGGACACGGGGGCACACTTCATCAATAAGGGTACCTGATCTCAAACCAGGTGAAGTGGGGACTAAAGTGAGGCCCAAACTTTACCTGTATGATGACCATTTGTTTACCTAACCCTGAATTGTACCCCACATCTTTAAAGTAAATTTTTTTTTAAAGAAAGAATTGAAATAGAAGTTGAAATGCAGCCAATAGATAAATCTGACTTACAGGACAGAAAAAAGAGGATTCTGGGTTGTAGGAGAAGCATGAAATAAATAGTGCTAGTGAGAACCACAGAACTCTTGCTGGACACGTGACACCCTACCCAACTCCTGCACTAAAAGACTTGAAGAAACTTTAGCCCGGCTTCTAGAACAGAAGGCTGAGTCCCTAGTGCCTGTCTGAAAAAGCAATGCTGCCAGGAACATGTACTATGGATTCTAGCCAGCACACATCTGATGATAGGCCTGTGGCCTCTTTTTCTCAGAGCATTTACCAAAAAGGGCTCATCAGTACGTAGCTCTTGCAACTCAGAATCTGCTCTTTCAAGGTGCTAAGAGCCATTTCTTCAAACTGTAGTCATCAAGAAGCATAAGACTTCTGTCTCCCAGTCTCTGTGGGAGACTAGACCCCTTCGCTACCTGCCAATTAGCAGGAACGGCTGGTCTGATCGCATATTGACCAACCCTGTGTATGTTTTTCTTCTCTGACTCGACCGGTCCCCTGCATACCTTCCTCTCTCATTCTCTCTTTAAAACACGCTAACCACTGTTGCCCACATTGGAATGGAGTTCAGCTCTTTGTCTTGGTGTCCGTAGTTACTGAATAAACTGAATTCACCATTTTAATGTCTGATGTCTTTTACACCAGCAGAGGCTGAGGAAAGACATGGAAGGACCTCTACTTGAAATGTCACTGTCACACTATCAATGTGCGTATGCATCCCTAGGGAGGAAAAGACACAAAGGAAAAGAAAAGTAAGCACTGTAGGTGCATTCTTATAAGAGTGAGGCTCGTTTTCTTTCCTACTGCGGAGGATTCAGTTTTACTCCTATTGCCACTTTGCGAAAAGGAGCTTATTTGGGCATTTCATGGGAAGCAGTGGAAACTTGATTAGCTGATGTCACCTGAAACAACAAACTTCTATTCGTTGATCTTGGCAAAAAAAATCAACAACTGACTGACTTACCCCTCCTGCAAAATAGGATAAAAACAATATAGAGGTAAATCAGGAAATAATGAGTTACTACTTAATTTAAGCTCTTTCTGCAAGAACTGGACTAACATTTAGACTCTAAACATGGTCAGAAGCATCAGCTGGTCTACAATGTCCTTGCACTTCTGGGACTTGCATGCAGCAAATTTAAAATTTGAGAGAAGAATGGTGGCAACTCATTTAACAGCAGGACATGTTAAAGGTTACAGGGTAAAGCATATTATCCGATGTGATTTCTTCTCCCTGGCCAACTCTTAAATGAACTGATACTGTCCCATCATCATCTTGTAAAAATAAAAAAATTTTAGTAGATTTGTCCCAGAAAAAGTTATTTTTGAGTTTCTTATAGGACTTGAAATGGAACATAGGTTTAAGAATTGACTGGCATATGAAGTTCTCTGTCCATCCAAGAATCAATTTGTATCCCAGCACGTTGTCTTTTTTAAATATCAAAGTTTACAACTGGGTTAATATTTAAATGCTAGAAGAGGAAGACTCTAGCTTATTTACATTAACTCTTGCTTTCTCAAAATAATTTATGATTAAAATAGCTCCATTCTTCTCACCCATTCTGTTCTGTAAATCCTGAGAATTCCAAAGAGATTCAGTTCACATTATGATGGCCACAGCTTACTCAAAGGGAGACCTGTGGGACATCCAAGGTTTCTAGAAACCTACCTCTCCATTGCAGTAGCAATAGATGATAGACACAAAGAAACCCTGCAGAACAACAACAACAAAAAGTTAGATCACTGACAATTCATTAAGCTCACAGCACTAAGATGTCTTGTGTCAAAAGGTGCTAGTTGACAAACTTTTTGTATAATTCTGTGTGTGTGTGTGTGTGTGTGTGTGTGTGTGTGTGTATGGATTATTCTCTCCTCGTGTTTCTAGGTTGTCCTCAAGTTTACATTAAATGTGTTTTTGATCTTTCCTTGGTGTCAGGTGAACAAAACTGAGTTAAAACACACACACACACACACACACACACACACACACACACACACACATTCCTACTAGATCAGTATCATTTCTGTTTCCACTTAAGGATCACATGCTATCCATTTCCTGCTTGGTAAGGAAAAAGTATAAGATGTGAATGCTGAAAACTATAGACATAGAGTATCACATGGTAAGAAACTTGTTTTCATTCATTCAAAAATGTTTATTTTGCTTATACAGTATGGAAGTAGTGGCTCAGTTTGACAGGACAAGGATAAACAATGTAAACAAGACAGACAAGGTCCCTGTTCTAGAAGAAAGGGCTATGGATAAAATATAAACAAATAACCATATGATAAAAATGCAAGGTGATAAGGGTTATGCAGGAAAAATAAGTGATGTTAAAGAGAATAACAGAGTGGGCAAAGACTTCTCTGAGGAGGTGACATTTAAGCTGATGTGAGTAACAAGAACAAGAAGCCAGCTGTGTGAACATTCAGGAAACAAAACATCTCAGGCAGATGGAACAGCAAATATGAGTCCCAGAGGCAGGAGTGGGCTTGAAGAATAGAGGGTGAAAGCAACAGCAGGTTTCTGACTCGGTGGGCTGCACAGAGCGTAGCGTGAGACAGGGTGAAAGGCCTGCAGGCTCCACGCCACGCAGGGCTGAGCGTGCCAGACAATGGCATTTGGATTTTATTGTGAGCAGAATTGGAAGCCTTTGGAGAGTTCTGGCAAGTAAGTGATAGGATTAAATTTACATTGAGATTCTTCAGACTGTTGTGTGTGGACTAGATTTAAGGTGTCAGGAGGCAGAAGCAAATGCGTTACAAGGACAAAGGGTAAGCCACGTAGAGATGATGGTAAACATATTTTCAAGTGGGATCAAATGGGTGCCAGCAACCTCTTCCTTGCTTTTGTCTTTCCTCTTCCCCACCATTTTAAAAATCTTCCCTACCTTCACCTTCCTTTGCTTTCACTTATTTTCCATCCACACCTACAAAGGTTCCTATTCTGCACGTGTTATCTATTTTACAAGATGCTTTCTTGCCTCGCCACCCAACCTCTTTGTATGAGAAACAGCCCAGAACTGCTCCCGCTATGAGCAGAGGATTATGCTGACCTCTCTGAGACAGAAAAGCACAAGCATCACGGTGCATCACCCTCATGTGACTCCTGAGAGTCACAGAGAAAGCACAGAGAAAGCCAAAGAAAGCACAGAGAAAAGGGTTTGCAAGGGAAGAAAAGAAGCAAATCACAAGGAACAAATGTCTAGGCAACACCCTTCACCTGGAAGGAGTTGAAGAAGAGCTCACAGTGCATGCGGATCTCCCAGCCGAGCCCAGTGTAGGAGTGAGGCAGGCACACAAACACGATGTAATGCACCCCAAAGACCAGGACCAGGACCAGCGTCGATTTGGCCAGTTTTCTGGAAAAGAACGGCAAGCCTTTGCATTCATAAACCAGAGAGTCTTTCAGTTCCCCTAATCACTACCCCCTGAATCTCTCCCATTTCATTTTCACTCTTTTTGCTGAAAGGAAGCTCTTTTCATAAAGTTGTGAGATACCTTTTTTTTTTTCTGTTGTAATTCTTTAACATCTACATTTGAGATTTAAAGGAGTATTGCCTCTATCCAGGCTAACTTCCACCGGTGCATTTTGGCTTCTTTTGTTCATTTTGAAATCAATTAATCTTGTTTCTCCTTATATTTGGACCTCCACTATATCATTAAGTCTGCTTACTCTTGGAGACCTTTTATAATTTCTTAAGAGACATATGTGGTCAATTCCTCTTGTCTTCTCTAAATATTCCCTGTCTACTCTATCTCCAATAGTCTGTAGTTCTATTTTGTCTAGTTATTTTTTTAATTTTATTTTTTCAAACTAAATAATTTGACATTATTTTCCTTAACAATCTCTTTCTGTACATTTTATTTGATTATTTATTTATTTATTTGAATTGGAGTCTCACTCTGTCACCCAGGCTGGAGTGCAGTGGCACGCTCATGGCCACCCCAGTGTCAACCTGCTGGGCTCCAGCAATCCTTCCGCCTCAGCCTTCCAAGTTTGTGGATCTCTAGGCATGCTACCAAACCCAGCTAATTTTTTATTTATTGTAGAGATGAGTTCTCGCCAAATTACCCGGGTCGGTCTTGAACCCACGGGCTTAGGCAATCCACCTGCCTCGGCCTCTCAAAGTGCTGAGATTACAGGCTGAGCCACTGAGCCCAGCCTATACATTTTTGGAGGAATCTCTGACTTTCCAATATAATCAGTTCATTCTAAATGGCTCCCAATGACCCCTACCTCTTGCTCTTCATGCCCTTATTAATCCTTCCTTTCTGAATGTGTGTAGAACCTAGAACTTGCCTCTAAAGAATAGATGATGACAAAGAAGACGACATGTCCTTCTGAGATTATGCTGTCTAAGATTGTAACTACCATCTTACTAACAGACTTGTTCCCTTGTTTGGATTGGTGAAGCAACCTGTCATGTTGTGAACTGCTCTCCGGAGACACCCATGTGGCAAGGAAAAGTGACAATAGACAGCAAGTAACTGAATCCTGCCAACAATCCCATGAGCTTAGAAGTAGGTTCTTTCTCAGCCCAGACTTCAGATAAAACCACAGCCCCAACTGTTGTTTTAAGCCATTAAGTTTGTGGTAATTTGTTTAGCAGCAATAGATATTTAGCACAACAAAGTACGCAATTTTATGGGGGCATTTTTCTTCTTTTGTACTTTTTAATTCAAGAAATTTCCAAATCTGGTTTCTTCTTTCTTTTTTATTTCTCAAATATCCGTCTTTATCTATGAATGATTCAACTCTCTAATAATGCCAGATAAGTATGACTTTCTTCCTCTCTCGCTAGTCCTTCCCCCAGTTGCTTTATTTATTTTTTGTTTGTTTTTATTCTTGAAAACAAGTTGTTGGTGAATAGAGATGACACTGGACTAAGACAACAGAGAAGGTTGTCAGGTTCCAGACTTGATGTCAACTGCCTGTGTGATCATGATTTAGTTTTCTTATCTTTAAAATAAGAAAATAGGGCCAGACATTCACATGGACTCTAATATTCTAAGGTTTTACTAGGGACCGTCTTCCACATACACACACTTTCCCGTCACAACCTCCTTATTAACTCCCACAGGAGCTGGAGTGTCCCACAAAAGCATATTTAAATGCCTAATTTAGACAAATCTACTCCATTGTGCTCTGCCTGTCTTCTCTCTCACTAGGACCTGGACCATCCGCTTCTCTTGGCTCAGAGCCACCCTCTCTGCCTCACATTCATAGCCTCCCCTGCAGCTTATGAGTTGTCGCCTGTGCTGATCCTAGTTATCGCATCTCTTGCCTTGAGTTACCTACAGTTTGAAAATTCTGATTTTAGTCTGTTCCATCCAAGACAGCACCCTAATAAGCAAAGGATTTCTCTGACCTAACTCATCCTTTCAACTTTTAGAGCTCCTCGGGATGTGCTTCTTGTCCTTACTCCTAGCTGGTAAGTACCCTCTTTTCATCAATGCCTATATGGGCAGGGCATTTTGAGAATCTTCAAGACATTTTAATTTAATCTCACCAGACAAAGAGGGGCAGCATTAACTGTACTTGCAGAACCTTGAAAATCTTGTCTAACTGACATCACTCTGAAAAGAAAATTGCATTTCTTCTTTTAAAATAAAAGGGTAAATTCCCCTGAAGACTGTTCTCGAAATCAAACTAACTTGGATTGTCTCTACTGTGGGTGAGTAGGAACCAAGAACTAGGTTAAAACAAAAAATAAAGCAGCACAACACGTCATCAAATGATCACAAATATAAATATTTAGGGACAGTTTTGTTCAATGCAAAATAAGGAAAAGTTGCCTTAGGCATGAAAATTTATTGGGTATACTGCTAGTTCAGTCAGTTGGGTTTTCTTCCTCTTTGTCTATGACTAAGCTTTTTTTACAACACTGTAGAGATAGAAGTTCATTTGTAGAAAACCGATAGTAATTACATTCATTTCCTATTGCTGTATAACAAATTACCTCAAATGTAGTGGCTTAAAACAATACCACAAATGTAGTGGCTTAAAGGCCAGAAATCCAGGCACACATACTCTGGGTCCTTGGCTCACAGCATCCTAAGGCTGGAATGAAGATGCTGGCTAGGGCTGTGTTCTCATCTGGACCTCCGGGTTCATTTCTAAACTAATTCAGATAGCTGGAAGACCTCAGTTTCTTGCAGTGCCTGCACGGTCTTCTGGCTGCAGACAAAGGTTCACTCAGTTCCTGCAGGCTTCTCTCAGGTGCTAGCCATTGGCCCTCACAACATGTCAGATGGCTTCCTCAAAGCCAGCAGGAAAATCCCTCTTTGGGTTTCCAGGATGGAGACTTGTATGGCATAATGGCAGGAGCGACTAATCCACTACCTTTGCCATATAATGTAAGTGACTACCCCCATGTAAATCTTACTCACACTCAAGGTAAAGGGTAGGGGAACAGCGACTATTCAAGGCATGTACACCCAGGGGCAGAAAACGTGGGGGTCATTTTAGAAATATGCCCACCATAGTAATGCAAATAATTTCTGCCCATAGAAGTGCAAATTCTGACCAGTGAAATGCCACTAATTATAGCCCTGTGGATTTCGACAAGTTGTGCCAGTTTGCATCCATTTATAAATTCATTTCCGTATGCATGATCTGATTTGATGAAATACTACAATCAAGAACCGAGTTCTCTTTTGAATCAGTTGTGATATCTTACTATTTTCCTCATTAATTAATGAGTTAAATACAATTTCTGAAGTGTGTTCCTTGACGCTTGTATGAGTTATAATCAGAACTTCTTATAAAATTTATCCTTACATGACAATGAGCTAAATTGGTGGCATGTTTCAAGCAAATGTATACATGGGTCATATGTCTGTCTATTCTCTCTCTCTCTCTCTCTCTCTCTCTTTTTTTTTTTTTTTTTGTAGAGATGGAGTCTCACTATGTTGCCCAAGTTGGTTGCGGACTTTTGGGCTCAAGGGATCCTCTTTCCTCGGACTCCCAAAGTGTTGGCATTACAGGAGTGAACTACCACATCCAGTCTATTCACTTATGAAGATAGACTTTTCTACTCAGTTCAAATCATCCTGCAATCCTGGGCACTGACTTTAGTCAGCATCCATTTGGTCACCCATGCATGTTGTTTGTACATTTTTATAACCTTGCTCTCTAAAAAATGCACAGCTGTCTAATGAGTTGATTCAGAGATCTACCAACTGATTGTGGTCTTCTGGCTTGCTGGAAACAGTGATGACTCTTTGTCCAAGGGTAAAGCCATGAGAGGAATACAAAGAGCTCAAATGATTTGGAAATTCAGAGCCCTATTTAGAAAATAGATTTCCATTTCTTGCAGTGTTTCTTCTGAGGTGATCTCTCCCCAGGTGAACAGCTCTAGAAAAATCTGTAATTTTCTTTCAAAGGTCAATTTAGATTTTTAAAATATATATACTACTATTGCTCTTAAGCCCTTCTTGATCACTGCTGGCCTTGAATTAATATTTTCCTCTTTTCTGTACATATAACAGTTTATAAAGGTATCTCTATGGGTACTTTCTTCATTTTATTTAATTAAATCAATCTTAATAACTCTTTCTTTCCCCTCCCCCACTAGATTGTGAGTTCAAGAAAGACTGAAAACATTTGTCCTGTTCCTGTTAACCTTAACTATTCTAATTAGCCACTTCAAATTAAAAAAAAAAAAAACTTCTGGGTGCCTGCTTATTTAAAAGTTATTCTGAATTCTGAGTAGCTGGTAGTCTTAATCCTTGATAAATTATTCTTTTCAATTATTCTGAGACATATTCCCCATGAAGTAACTCAAAATATTGTCTAGTCTGTCTATTTTTTTTAAAGATAAGCCACCCTTTGTTTCCTCCAGGATTTCTCATGTCTCTTGGGCAAGTTTTTACTGAAACTACAAGTTCATATCATTCATAACTATGGAAAATAAAACAGCTTTTTTCAGAACTGGAAAAAACACCATTGCACTTTTTCATTTTACAAAGAAAATGAAAGGTCATTTACATTTTACATCGTTCTATCATCCTTTGGCTCTAGTCTTCACCAAAGAGATGCGACATCAGAGACGAGCTCTATTAGTAGAACGTCGGTCCTGGACTGTAAATTCATGCACAATTTCCATATTAATACTACCACTTGTAGCACACTAAAAATGACGAGCTAGCACCTGCTGGAGTGTTAATAGTGTGCATCCTATCTGCACCACAGATCTTACCTCAAGTCTCTGCAGCTCAACAGTAAATGTTACCTAATTGGTGAAGAAGAACAACTCAACAAAGCACTTAGAGGATATTAGTGAGAGAAGATCAAAAAATGCTGACTATAAATTCTTCCTTTCCATGTCTGAGATGGCATTTCACAACAATCCAAGGCAAAAAGAAATAACTAACTGCTTGGGGATTGTGAAGCCAAATCCACAACCGCCTGATTACTAGATGTATGTGTCTAGTTGGATAGAGGCAGCTATTATTCAGAATTTCCCGAATGATCATTATGAGAAATGGACACACCCTTAGGAGCTTTTGATAATCACCATAAACACTCAATTTTCCCTTATCTTCAGGCAGGACTAAAGAATAGACCTCCCTCAATCAGCACATTTGAAAGTTCTTAAAAAGTTAGATTTGGGTAGGAGCTGATTTGTTGTGAAGATTGGAAACAATACAGCAAATGCACTTCTTGATTTTTTTCCGGTTCTGGCATGTTTTTATTATTACTTAATTTATTTATTTATTGAGTCGGGGTTCTCACTCTGTCACCCAAGCTGGGTGCAGTGGCACGACCATGACTTACTGCAGCCTCAACCTCCTGGGCTCAGGTGATCCGCCTCAGCTTCCCAAGAAGTTGGAACTATACACCAGCACCACCACATCTGGTTATTTCTTATTTTATTTCATTTTTTGTCATGATAAGGTCTTGCTTTGTTGCCCAGGCTTGTCTCGAATTCCTGGCCTTAAGCGATCTTCCTTGGTTTCCCAACATGCTAGGATTATGTGTGTGAGCCACCACGTCCAGCCATGACATATTTTTAGAATGTAGACAAAAGAGTCCGCCAACATCATCAACAATATATTTCCTGGGGGTTCATAAATGGTTTATGGGCAAATTCTAAGCTGTTAAGCACAGATTTTTTTTTTTTTTTTTTTGAGTTATAATCTCATTCTGTCGCCCAGACTGGAGTGCAGTGGCTGCTCCTGGCCACCGCAGCCTCGACCTGCTGGGCTCTGGCTATCCTTCCACCTCAGCCTTCCAAGTAGCCGGAATTACAGACATGCGCTACCACGCCCAGCTGATTTTTTGATTTATTGTAGAGATGAGGTCTCGCTGCCCAGGCGGGTCTCGAACCCGCAGGCTCGGGCAATCCACTCACCTCAGTCTCCCAAAGTACTGGGATTACAGGCTGAGCCACCGAGCCCGCCTTAAGCACAGATTTTAAAAATCCTTAGAATTTAAGCACATTGGGTAGACTTTGGGTTACTTACATTTTTCTAAACTACATATAGTTTTTGATAAATCATACAATGAACCAAACAAACATATACATTCATAAATGTAATCTCTTAAAGACATTTCAGATTAGTATCTGCTATTTGGATGCCTTTCCTGGGATTACCTGTATTGCTTTCTCGTGTCATGCCCAATTGCATTGGTCTCCCAAATTTTGGTAGCAAGAACTCTAACTGTATTCAGAAACAGAATAAAATTCAGCTGAAAGAGAGGGTAAGATTATAAAGAATTATTGTTAGTCTTCAAGATGTGGATAAACACATACATAAATTAAACTTTTTTCTATTCAAAGAACAAAAATTACCCATTCCATAAATGTGAATGGGAAAATCTGAGATAAGACACAGGAGGGCTAGTGATCCTTGATTTGCCTTCATGAAAACACCAAGAAACATAAAAAATTGCCACAGCACTGGAAATACTGGAGGATGAACTGCCACGGTGTACCAGTATTTTCTTTTCTTTCTTTCTTTCTTTTCTTTCTTTCTTTCTTTCTTTCTTTCTTTCTTTCTTTCTTTCTTTCTTTCTTTCTCTTTCTTTTTTTCTTTTTCTTCCTTGCTTCCTTCCTTCCTTTCTATCTTTCTTTTGTTTTTGTTTTTGCTTTTGTTTTTGAGTCAGAGTTCAAGTTGGAGTGTAGTGGCATACTCACAGCCACCACAGCCTCGACCTGCTGGGCTCAGGTGATCCTTCTGCCTCAGCCTTCTAAGTGTCTGGAATCACAGGCATGTGCCACCACACCTGGCCAATTTTTTAAAAGAATTTATTTATTGTAGAGATGAGGTCTCACCATGATACTCAGACTGGTCTCCCACCCCTGAGTTCAGGCAATCCTCTTGTCTCTGTCTCCCAAAGTGCTGGGATTACAGGCTTGAGCCAGTTCAGATGAAGCCCTGTGGCAAATTGTCAGAAAAACATAATAGATATTATATAAATATAACTAACTGTCCTTTTAGAAGTGAATTTCTAACTCTGTCTCTATTTTAGGGGGAGAAATGATAGATTTGTTTTAAGGATACTATTTGTCTTATGATGTACAGAAATTATTGGATGAAGTATATACAGTTTTTTAAAAAGACAAATAAGATGCTGTATAAAAAAAGGAACCCAGTACAGGAAATTAAATTGATTTTGAAATGTTATAGGTATGAAAGTCACTAGAAACAGTCAAGTTCTGGTTTTAAGAAGAGGGGAAAAGGGTGTTGGTGGGATTAACCCTTTTATGTCTGAAGTCCTCTAGGATCAGTGAAGAGATCCAAACTGAGGAAGAAGGAAAGGTCTCCAGGTCTGGGGTCATAATGAGATGGAGGCCTGAACCCCTTGGGTTCCTTCATTCAGGGAGATTCTGCTGCCCAGAAAGTGCGAGTGCTTAGGAATAAGGGAAATGTAGATTGCAAAGAGTAGGCATTGTGTCAATGCCAGAGCAAGGGCTGGAAGGGAGGAGCCATTTCTGGGGATAATTTGTCTTGCAGAGTCCTCAGTCATTTCTGGATTTTAGAGAATTTTGGTCATTAAATTATTTCTGTGCCTCAGTCACCAATTTGGCTGATCATCTATATTATTCCTGAACCCCAGTCACTGTCTTTGCCATCCTACCATGGACTACCCTGTAGATACCTCTCAATAATTTCAAAGCTTTCTACAAGAACTGAAGGCTAGGTTTGAGCCCCATACCCTGGGGAAGGACAAGGCTATGACTTGATGGAAGGAGAGGAATGTTTCCAGGCTAATCATAGCTGCCATTTATTTAACACTCTCTAATTTAAAACCGCACATGAATACGTGATGGGCATTTTTAAAATTTTCCTTAATGTCTATTTACAATGGATGAAGAAATACCAAGTCAAAGAGATTAACTGCAATCGGCTGTAATTTGAACTAGGTTTGTGGAAGTCTGTATTGTGAATTCTTAACTGCTTATTTTTTATATATATTTAAATATTTTATTTCATCTTATTTTAAAGATGTGGGGTACTATTCAGGATTAGGTATTCAAGTAGTCATTGTACAGGTAAAGTTTAGACCTCCCTTTGGTCCCCACTTCACCTGGTTTGAGATCAGTTATCCTTATTGATATAGTGTGTCCTCCCTCCCTCCCCTGGCAGTTTCCCATTACTGCCAATCACTTTCTTATAGTAGTATGATAAATGTTCAGGGTCTGCTTATGAGAGAGAACATGTGGTACTCAGTTCTTTGTTTCTGTGATAGATCACTGAATATTGTAGACTCTAAATTCATTCAAGTTGCTACGAGGTCCATAATTTTGTTCTTCTTTATGACTGTGTAATATTATATTGTGTATATGTACCACATTATTTTTATCCAGTTCACTTTTGCTGGTCAGCAGGGTTGGTCCCATGTTTTTGCTATTGTGAATAACGCTTCAATAAACATGCATGTTCAGGTATCTTTTTTGTAGAGTGATTTGAGTTTCTCTGGGGATGTTCCCAGAAGGGGGATTGCTAGGTCATAAGGAAGTCCAATTTCTAGATCTTTTAGGAATCGCCACACTGTTTTCCACAGAGGTTGCCCTAGTTTACACTCCTACCAACAGTGTAGAAGCATTCCCTTTTTCCCATATCCTCTCCAACGTCTCTTGCTTTTTGAGTTATTAATGATGGCTATCTTGACAGGAGTTAGGTAGTATCTCAGTGTGGTTTTTAATTTGCATTTCTTTGATGACTAGTGAGGCTGAGCATTTTTTCATGTATCTGTTGGCTGTTTGTGTGTGTCTTTTGAGAAGTGTCTATTTATATATTTTGCCCACTTTTAAATAGGGCTATTTTTTTGTTTGTTTGTTTCAGCATATTTGAATTCCTTGTAGATTCTGGATGTTAGGCCTTTGTCAGATATACAGTTGGTAAATATTTTTTACCATTCTGTGGGCTGTCTTCCCCTTTTCTTGATGGTTTATATTGCTTTGCAGAAGCTTTTCAGTTTGATGAGGTCTCACTTGTCTATCTTTTCTCTTGTGGCATGAACATTTGGGGTTTTGATCAGGAATTGGTTGCCAATTCCAATTTCCATAAGGTTGTCTCCTGCATTTTATAAGGTTCTTATAGTTTGAGGTTTTTACATTTAGGTCTTTGATACATTTAGATTTGGTTTTCTTTGTGTATGGTTCCAGGTAGGTGTCCTGTTCCAACCTTCTGCATGTGGTCAGCCAGTTTTCCAGGACCATTTGCTGAATAGGTTCTCCTCTCCCCAGTGGTATGTGGTGGAGGCTTTGTTGAAGATGAATTGGTTGAGAAATTGATGTTTTGCTTCCGGGATCATAATTCCATTCCATTGTTGTTTATGCCTGTTCCCGGACCAATACCAAGCTGTTTTGATTTTTGAAGCTTTGTAGTAAAGTTTGACGCCTACTTTTTTTTTTGCTGAGGATTGTTCTGGATATTCTTGGTCATTTGTGTTTCCATATAAATTCCTGTG